CAATGAAATAGCTGTTCTTATAATTTTGGCCACTACTGTATATATATATATATGCAAATCCTAAAGGATATAGAGGAGTATATGTAACTATACAATACTGACTTTTCACTTGCATTAACTTTCGATGACTTCAATATTACTCAGAAAAATAAATACTGTGTTAGTCGTATTTCGATAGCTCAATAGTTGGAGCACCGATCCGAATAACTACTTATCAGATTATGGGTTTAACTGCTGAACTAGGGATGTTAAGCTATTTTTATTTTCTTTATAATAAAGAATAAATATGAAAAAAGTCTTTATATTTAAAAATAAAGGCAAAAAAAATTTAAAAGTCTTTATAAAAAAATATAAATTTTTTCTCTTTTTTCAAAAATAAAGATAAAAAAAATACAGAATTATTTTCGTATCACAACTTTACTTTTTTGTCTTGTTGAAGTACCTCACAAAAATGGATCATATTAAATAATAAAATATAATATGCAATGAAACTTTTCGCATGTATCGTTGTATAAGTGGTCTTCACTCTTGACGATACGACATGTGGAAGTGATCATCGTAGTAAGAAAATATACCATTCAAAAATATTATGCTCTTATACAGGATATTTGGATGTGTACTTATTACATAAGAAAATATGTCTTTATTCTTTATTTTAACTTTATTTTTACAAATAAAGATGATCTTTCTTTCTTTTTCTTTATTTTTTATAAAAGAAAGATAAAGAAAATTGTCATCTTTATTTATGAAGCAAAGATAAAGTAACACGCCTATCTCGATCCAAGCATGTCACTTAGTTTTTTGAAAGATATTGAATTCATCGAAAGTCAAAGGAAGTAAAAAGTCAGTATTGTATAATTACAAAAGAATTATACATTGAGAAATTGATGACATAGGTTGTTTGACCAATAATGACGTAACGCGAAAAAGGAAGAACATTAGATTAAAGAGATATATAGACTTTTAAACAGCTTAGCGTCTGTTAACGACAACAACAGAGACTAACAATGCGATTAGATTTGAATAGATAAAAATCTTTATATGTCTGTGAAATTGTTTTTCTCCTTTTATAGTAGATTTCAATATTTTACTTAAATAAATGTCTCAAACTTCAGGTAAATAAACTATCGAGTGTACTAAAATACGAAACAAATAACTGTTATGTTTTACATATTTTAGCCACTCCACATATTGCTGATACTGTTCCATTGCCGGATCCTTTGAAGTCGAGAACAAGAGTGACGTTAGAAAACGGTAATTTTTCTATTTCATACTACCAGTGTATCTATTTTTTATTATCATCATATCAAAGATCTTCAATTTGATTCATCGTGCTGTGGTCCTAGTTTATACATTTCTGATGAAAATCTTCATTTGAGAAAAACAGTTGCAACAGACCAGTGGCGTACATGTCGAGCGATGAATGCTGGTTGGTCAGATGGCATTCATTACTGGTCAGTCCGAATAAATGATCGAGGTGCAGTAGGTTATTTAATGATTGGCGTTGTAACGGATGCCTTTGATGTCAGCGCTATTAGTTATCCAGGAAAAACAGTAGATAGTTTTGGATTTCATATTTTTAACGGACAGAAATACAATGGAAGTAATGGTGTGGCATTCACTAGTGATTTACCGAAAAATGGAGATGTAATCGGTGTACTTCTTGATCTTGAAGCTCGAACTTTAACTTATTTTAAAAATGGTAAAATTGTAGGCACAGCATACGGTCTTTTACCTGCCAATGGAACTAATATCAAGTATTATCCAGCCGTTGCATGTTATGAATTAGGACAATGGATTAACTTTACCAGGACTCTGAAAAATTGATCACATCTCTCATGAACGTCTGGCCAAGAGGAATCCTAAGGTGAATAATGTAGAAGTCCGAAAAATAATAAAGTTACAAGTACTTGTCTTGTATACCAGTTGCAATGTCATTCAACTAATATTTTGAAAACTATTCGACTAAGAAGGCAACGTAGCTGTATGAAAATCAGTCATATTTTAAAGTACTGAGCGGTATCCAAAAGTAGTGTCGCCATTACCAAATTCCCTTATAGAAAGGGTAAAAAAAATTTCATTCTTTTTCAAAAGATAGAGCGTCTTTCGCTCTATTTTTTCTATGGTATTTGATCATACCTTAACTAATGTCATCATAGTAAATTTTTGACAAGACGTTTTTCGTTAACATGTTTGCTCGTGGTAAGTTGTATGTTGTAGTTTTCAATTTCTGATTACTTGTATTAACAACCAAAATATGCCATAAGATGCAGCGTGAAAAGCTTTACAATATCCATAAGACCACTTATTGTCTAGTTGCACTTTTTGTTCTTAAAATAGACTAAATTTTGAGTGATCAAAGGAAAAGGGCGGATAAGGCCATTTTTCGGCCCCCATCAAAACTCATTTATTTATATCAGATTTTAATATAGCATTCAACCCTGATGATATTTTATAACTTTAATCTCCAAAAAATGACATTCATGGATTTTGACCCTGGGATCCCCCTCAAGTATCACGAGAAAAAATTTGTTTTATTTCGTGAGTCAAAACCAAATAGAACTGTGGGTTTGTGGGTGTGGGTGTGGGTGTGGGTGTGGGGTGTGGGTGTGGGTGTGGGTGGATGTGGGTGAGGATGAGAGTGTGTGGCCGTGGGTG